TACACGCTTTCTCTCTCTCTCCGATTTGAAGACTAATACCGGTACAAACTGGTTCCTCTCTGTCAGACTCGTACCCAAGTCAAATTAAGGTACGCGTTTTCTCTCTGTCTGTCCGACTCGTACCCGAGCCAAAATAAGGTACACGTTTTCTCTCTGTCTGTCCGACTCGTGCCCCAAGCCAAAATAAGGTACACGTTGTTCCGTTTGGCGCACCTCTTCACTTCCTTCGCTGCGGCGGCCCTATCCTTCTTGACCAAAGACTTTGCCCTCTCCATGTGCAGCTTCACGGCAGCATAGAGCGCGTCTTCCAGGTCGCTGAACAGGGTCGCGCTCCGCGGGAAATACCTGGGGGGGGGGGGGGCGTCGCACAATCAATCCCGACAATGAAACAAAGGGCAGAAGATAGCTTCGATCCGTTTGCTTGAAAGCAAGAATGTTCCACCTCTGCTTCGAAAGTACCTCGAAGTACCTTCGAAGGTGCATGGTTTAGAACGGGGGGTGTTGTTACGCTGGGGGGATACCTCTTCTTTCGGTATGGAGCTGGGCAGCCTCGCGTACTGTACAACCTCTCCAACCTTCCAGGCCTACAGTACTCCCAATGAACAGACCGTTCGCTCTGGGAACCCCTCGAAAGCGCGCAAGTCTACTGGGGACGCGCTCACGGATTGGGTGTGATTGACCTTTGGGTGTGCAACTCATTCCGTGTGTAGCTTGAGTGGTGACACAAAGGTGCTGTATTCACCTGGTCAGCCTAGCCGTCTCGACGGGGTTAGTCTTTTGCCTACATGGTTACCCCCTTTACACGCTTCAAGATGGAAACGTGCGTTGCCTGCAGCGTGCCTTCAAAGGTTAAGCACACTTGTCCAATAGCGAACACGATGTGTTTGTGCGTGCGTTTTCGATTTTTCAATACCGTTACCGTATATTTCGACGATGCACCGGCCTCCTCACGTTGGCAGACTTACACTTCTAAGGCTTCGAGCACCGTAGACGCTGTTGTTGCGTGGGCTGGGCGGAGTTGCAGGATCCAAACTCACGACGGTTTCATC